AGAGGGGCTGACTGCACTCCTGTATGCTGGTGGGGCAACAAAAGCAAAACCTGCGCCATGTACCCACATGCCAGAAAGTGATGTGAGGATTTGCCTTGGGTCCAGCAGAAGCTGCAGTGTTGGAAGGGAATGTGTGGATTGGTGCGAGGCGATAGGCACTGACCACTGGAGCTCTCCATCTGTCAGGCATCGTCCACCAGTACAAAATCTATGGTGTGGGCTCTCAGGGCACCAGAGGCTGACCTGTAAGCAGGTGTGGCCAGGCTGGGGCCGCAGGAGCATCTAGCAGACCAAAGGGTACTCAGATTGGACTGGTCCCATCTGATAGACAAGACCACCCTACAGAGTTCAAGTCTGATTGTTCTCCTATGGCTAAAGTCTCCTATGGGTGCAAGTCAAGTGTAGGGGGATGGCCAGGCTTCTCTGGGGCTCCTTTGCTTCTGCTTTTGAGTTGAATGCTGCAATCCTCTCAGCAAAGAGATGTGATGGTGAATCCTCTCCAAAACTGTTTCTTCTCCCTTCCTGGCTTCTTTGCAGTGTTGATAGAGAGTATTCAAAAAGTGTTTTAGTTTCATTACTTGCTTAAATAACACCTTTGCCTCATACAGGAAGTCCACAGTATCTGGTTTTTAGTTCCCATTAAATAAAAGCAAGGGGCTGAATAGATGAGTGGTTTTCAAATTGTGATTAAGTCCTTAGGAATAAAGAGGTGCTTCAAGGAGCACCGCTGTAAACAAACAAAACAAAATGAAAAACAAAGCAGCCCCTTCTTCCCAACAGCTTTGTAAAACCTCTGAAGCAGGCAATCCTCCAATGCTAGTCAAACTAGGTCAAGTATAAGTTTAACTAATTAGAGGGGTTTTTTCCCAAACTTGGGCCTTGACCACTCCTTTCTTCACGGACTTTATCAGTAGGAAGCAGGTGAGTCACTTGCTAGTCAGTGGGAGTTTGCAGTGCTACTGTCTGACTCCCAGAAAGAAATCCATCGTTCTACCCCCTTACAAGAAAGCATGTTAGGACCATGTACTTTCCTTGCTTTATGATTAAACCACTCTTCAACATCTACTAATTCACTAAGTCTGCTAAGTATTGTTGGCAAAGAACCTGTAAATCTTGTGCCAAAAAGTTAAATCAAGTGGAATACAATGGAAAAGGAAGTGACCTGAGATGGAAAAATGTTTACAACTGGAATCCTTTTATGGTCAACTTTTTGGGAAAAAAATTCATTTAGTTATTCTCAAAAAGGTCAGAATAAGTATTAATGATAAACCTTGTAATATCCTATAATCTAGAGATCTTCCTTAGTAACTTTTACCTAATTTAGAAAAAGCCAATAGAAGCAAAAGAGATGTATTTTCCTCATCAAGACTTCTCAGTGTACAAGTTAAAATCATTTTCTAAATAATTTCTTCAATGACATAGATATAATAGTCTGTCTCTAAGCATATCCACATTTTTTTTATATTGTAAAACCCAATAAGCCCAAATCAACAGCTTATTCATGTTTGAATTCTAAAATAGGGCTCTTTAGAGATTTTAGCAAGTCATTTGCCAAAGTACTCCAGGAATTTAATTTGATTTAAAAGTGTAAAAGTTTGAGGGTCCTTATATATCATGCCAAGTAATTTGGAGACCACTTTAACAATCTGTAAAGATCAATAGTAATATTATTTTATAAATCTTTTAAAAATTATTTTAAAATATATATATATTTGCACTTTAGGTTCTGGGGTACATGTGCAGAACATGCAGGATTGTTGTATAGGTACATACATGGCAATGTGGTTTGCTGCCTCCATCCCCACAACACCTATATCTGGCATTTCTTCCCATGTTATCCCTCCCCAACTCCCTACCCCACACTCCCTCTTCTAGTCCCCCCCAACAGACCCCAGTGTGTTATTCTCCCCTCCCTGTGTCCATGTCTTCTCCTTGTTCAACACCCATCTATGAGTGAGAAAATGCAGTGTTTGATTTTCTGTTCTTGTGTCAGTTTGCTGAGAATGATGGTTTCCAGATTCATCCATGTCCCTACAAAGGACACAAACTCATTGTTTTTTATGGCTGCGTAGTATTCCATGGTGTATATGTGCTACATTTACCTTGTCTAGTCTATCATCAATGGGCATTTGGGTTGGTTCCAGGTCTTTGCTATTGTAAACAGCGCCGCAATGAACATATGTGTGTATGTGTCTTATAATAGAATGATTTATAATCCTTTGGATATATACCAAGTAATGGGATTGCTAGGTCAAATGGAATTTCTACTTCTAGGTCCTTAAGGAATCACCACGCTGTCTTCAACAATGGTTGAACTAATTTGCACTCCCACCAACAGTGTAAAAGTGTTCCTATTTCTGTACATCCTCTCCAGCATCTGTTGTCTACAGCTTTTTAATGATTGTCATTCTAACTGGTGTGAGCTGGTATCTCAATGGGGTTTTGATTTGCATTTCTCTAAGGACCAGTGTGATGAGCATTTTTTTACGTTTATTGGACTCATATATGTCTGCATTTGAAAAGTGTCTGTTCATGTCCTTCACACACTTTTGAATGGGTTTGTTTGCATTTTCCTTTAAATCTGTTTTAGTTCTTTGTAGATTCTGGATATTATCCCTTAGTCAGATGGGTTGATTGCAAAAATTTTTCCCATTCTGTTGGTTGCTGGTTCACTCTATTATTTCTTTTGCTATGCAGAAGCTCTGCTGTTTAATTAGCTCTCATTTGTCTATTTTGGCTTTTGTTGCCAATGCTTTTGGTGTTTTAGTTATGAAGTCCTTGCCTATGACTATGTCCTGAATGGTTTTGCCTAGGTTTTCTTCTAGTTTTTATGATGTTAGCTCTTATGTTTAAGTCTTTAATCCATCTGGAGTTAATTTTAGTGTAAGGTGTCAGGAAGGGGTCCAATTTCTGCTTTTTGCACATGGCTAGCCAGTTTTCCCAACACCATTTCTTAAACAGGGAATCCTTTTCCCATTGCTTGTTTTTGTCAGGTTTGTCAAAGATCAGATCATTGTAGATGTGTGATGTTGCCTCCAAGGCTTCTGCTCTGTTCCATTGGTTTATATATCTGTTTTGGTACCAGTACCATGCTGTTTTGATTACTGTAGCCTTATAGTATAGTTTGAAGTCAGGTAGCATGATGCCTCCAGCTTTGTTCTTTTTGCTTAGAATTTACTTGGCTATGCATGCTCCCTTTTGGTTCCATATGAAGTTTAAGGTGTTTTTTTTTTTTCCAGTTCTGTGAAGAGGATCATAGGTAGCTTGACGGGAATAGCGTTAAATCTGTAAATTATTTGGGCAGTATGGCCACTTTCACAAAATTGATTCTTCCTAACCATGATCTTGGAATGTTTTTCCATCTGTTTGTGTCCTCTCTTATTTCCTTCAGCAGTGTTTTGTAGTTCTCCTTAAAGAAGTCCTTTACATCCTTTTTTAGTTGTATTCCTAGGTATTTTATTCTCTTTGTAGCAATTGTGAATGTCAGTTCATTCTTGATTTGGCTCTCCTTAAGTCTGTTATTGGTCTATAGGAATGCTTGTGATTTCTGCACATTGATTTTGTATTCTGACACTTGGCTGAAGTTGCCTATCAGCTTAAGGAGATTTTGGGCTAAGATGATGGGGTCATCTAAATATAAAATTATGTTGTCCTCAAATAGATACAGATTGACATCCTCCTTTCCTAAATGAATACCCTTTATTTCGTTTTCTTGCCAGATTGCTTTGGGTAGAACTTCCAATATTATATTGAATAGGAGTGGTGAGAGAGGGCATCTTTGTCTAGTGCCAGATTTCAAAGGGAATGTTTCCAGTTTTTGCCCATTTAGTATGACATTGGTTGTGCCATAAATAGCTTTTATTATTTTGAGATATGTTCCATGAATACCTAGTTTCTTGAGAGTTTTTAGCATAAAGGGCTGTTGAATTTTGTCAAAGGCCTTCTTTGCATGTATTGAAATAATCATGTGGTTTTTTATTCAAGACACGGTCTGACCTATTAACCATGTAGCCTATGAATCCTTTGACAGTGTTATGCAATCAAATTTAAAATACGGCAGATCCATTATGTCACCTCTTTTCTTATCTTAGTGAGACTAACAGCTTTTAAAATTATATATTTTATTCCTACCATCTCTCCCACCTTCCCAGTTTGTCCCCACTCATATTTAAATGTATGTAATTTAAAGGAGTGTTCTGATATTTATCCCAATCTTTATTTTACTTGGTAAAACTTTGCATCATTTCACTTATTTAATCTTTTTATATGAGGCTGGCAGCCCCAAATTCTATATAGAAGGCACTGCTCTTCAGTCACACATATCCATAAAACATCAGTCCAAATTAGTGTACCAATCTCCCTCAACCAGCCACTCCTAGGTGGTACCTTAGGGAAAGGAAACTTTACATATGTGAAAACATATATGCATTGTCAAGTAAATTACATTAAAGAGTAAAGTTTACCCTGACTTTTCTTTTTTTTTTTTTTTTTTTTTTTTTACTTTTAACTTTATTTGGCAAAGCAGCACTGCATAAACTGTTCAAGAACTGGGACACAGCTTACACAGCATGTTAAGTTCATATACATTATCAGCAGCAAATTAGAACAGAGAAAACAACACTAAACTCCAAGTCTCCTATAATTTTGAGAGAAAGAAGGGAAGAACTAAGTCATTATGTCCAATCTGAACAGCTGAGTGTTTACAGGACATCACCTGCCATCTTAAGGTTTAGTATTTACAAATGCCTAGTTTTAAGGTAACAAAGCGGCTGATTGTATCTACAACATGCTATTCTATGACACCACATCAAAAGCTTTAAAAAGAAAGCTCATCTCTATTTTCTTAGTAGCATCTAACAGACATCCAAATACCAAGAATCTTAACTTGTGAATGGTGGTGTTATCCAATGCACAAAAGCAATCTGATAAATTAATATCAGAACAGAATTAAGTGTCCAAGAAAAGAAAAACCACTCCTCAAAATCAATTCACAAAATAGGTTTTCCATTCTGCAGAACCCTTCCTTTTAATACTTCCAAGTAAAATATGGGCATGTTAAAGTAATAACACACATTTGTACTGTGTATCCTTCCTCTACCAACATGGCTCTGTGCCTCTTTGAAAAATCAGAAACCCTAAAAAAACACACATTTTCATGCTGAAAAGAACAGTGTAACAAAGTCCGAAACAAGCTGTGATGGTGTTGGTTTTCAAAAAGCTTTGAGGACTGAGATGAGCAATCCACTGTAATTTTATAGACTGGTCAAGCTGATGTTGCCTTTACAATTCATCCCTGGACCACTGCTTTTCTTTATCTGTTAAAGGCACGTATATCACCCCCATCAGAGGCTTCATTTTGACGCTGCCATCTTGTAGCTTGTCATACTGCTCCAACATTTGGTTTCCACCTGCAGGACCAACTGGCAATATCAATCTTCCACCAGGCTTTAACTGGTCTATTAGCGCCTGGGGTACAACAGGGGCTGCAGCTCCTACGTGAATGGCATCGTAAGGGGCTTCTTCAGCATACCCCATTCTTCCATCTCCCACAACAAGTTGTACTCTCCCTGAAGACAGAGGTGTTGGATCATCCTTCCTGACATTATTTATTGAGTCATCTACTAGCTCTTTAATGTGATCAATTCCTATGACTTTTCCACTACATCCAACCATACGTGCAAAACATGCAGTAAGGATTCCACTTCCAGATCCTACATCAAGAGCTTTAGCTCCTTCATGCAATTGATCAAACAGAAGTTCTAGTGCGTATGCATGCATGTGTGGAGCACTGATTGTTGCTTGGAAACCTATTGATTGTGGAGAATCCATGTAAGGGTTACATTTTGCATAGTGGGAGCGGTCTGTAGCCAGCATCACTTCAAATACTTTATCTGTCTTGATGATTCCATTTTTGCGGAGATTGTGGATTAGCTCCGAGTGGCTGGCGCCGCCGGATTTCCAGGCCATCGCTAAGCACACTCGGAGCAGGTACAGAATCACCTTCAGCGTGGCGACGGTGCCCAGTAGTTTCCCCAAGAGTGAGACCACCTCCCACACCGTCACCGCCCCGCTCGCGTCCCCGCTGTAGCCGCCGCCGTTACTGCCGTCGCCGCCGCTGCCGCCACTGCCTACCCTGACTTTTCAATTGTTTCTGATTTTAATTGAAAATATGAAATACATAAAATCCACATAGAAGTGTTGAGAGGTGATTCTGCTTTAAAAATAACCACAGGGCCGGGCGCGGTGGCTCAAGCCTGTAATCCCAGCACTTTGGGAGGCCGAAGTGGATGGATCACGAGGTCGAGAGATCGAGACCATCCTGGTCAACGTGGTGAAACCCCGTCTCTACTAAAAATACAAAAAATTAGCTGGGCATGGTGGCGCGTGCCTGTAATCCCAGCTACTCGGGAGGCTGAGGCAGGAGAATTGCCTGAACCCAGGAGGCGGAGGTTGCGGTGAGCCGAGATCGCGCCATTGCAGTCCAGCCTGGGTAACAAGAGCGAAACTCCGTCTCAAAAAACAATAAAATAAAATAAAAAATAACCACAGGTACTAGTTCCTTTTTCTGCTTCCATTTCAGTTCCTTAAGAAGTATTTAAGCCACAAACAATACTTAAAAAAATTAATTGGATTTTAAAATTAGTTTTCAAATAGAAATTCTTTCCATTTAACCTGTGATCATGTGATATGTAAATCAAGTATTTTTAATATAATACTCTTCTAAGATAATTAAATTGAAAGTTCCAAAATAGTGGTAAACTTTTTCAAAAAAAAAAAAGATATTATGTATCCTCATTTCCTATGAGAAAAACAAGCCTTCCCTAGCTTAAAAAAAAGAATGAGAGCAACTAATCTTTAAATCCTAGTGTTTTTTGTTTTGTTTTGATTTTTGATTCTCTCTACCTGGAAAAGCTGGAAATGTTATTTTGTAAAGATATGTGTGCCATAAATTTGTTTCATTACCTTTGTTCTCTCAACTATAATTATGCACATTTCTGTTTATACTAATAATGTTCATCATAAAAATTTAAAAAACAGAAATTAATGAAGAATTAAAATTTAAATTACCCACAGCCGGCAATGAATATTTGATGGGTTCCTTCGATCTTTTTTGTATATAGATTTATTTAAATTAGTATAATAATGTATATAATTATGTTTCTCAGTTTTGGTCAATTAACATTTGAGCATTTTTCAGTGTTAGTAAATATTTCTCAAAAATATAATCTGTATTTGTTCTCTACTATTTTTCAAAAAAAATCGTAGCTTAACATTTCTTGTTTAAACAATAATACCGTGATAAACACTTTTACATGAAAAAAAAATCATGTGGTTTTTGTCTTTGGTTCTGTTTATGTGGTGAATTACGTCTATAGACTTGCATATGTTGAACCAGCCTTGCATCCCTGGAATGAAGCCTACTTGATCCTGATGGATAAGCTTTTTGATGTGCTGTTGCAATTGGTTTGCCAATATTTTATTGAAGATTTTTGCATCTACGTACATCATGGATATTGGCCTAAAGTTTTATTTTCTTGAGGATTCTCTTCCGGGTTTTGGTATCAGGATGATGTTGGTTTCATAAAATGATTTGGAAGGGATTCCCTATTTATGGATTGTTTGGAATAGTTTCAGAAGGAGTGGCACCAGCTCTTTTTTGTATGTCTGGTAGAATTCAGCTGTGAACCCATCTGGACCTGGATTTTTTTTTTTTTTTTTTGATTGGTAGGCTATTAATTGCTGCCTCAACTACAGCTCTTGTTATTGGTCTATTCAAAGTTTCAACTTCTTCCTGGTTTAGGCTTGGGAGGGTGCAAGTGTCATGTCCAGGAATTTATCCATTTCTTCCAGGTTTACTAGTTTATGTGCATAGAGTTGTTTGCAGTAATCTCTGAATGTAGTTTGTATTTCTGTGGAATCTGTGGTAGTATCCCCTTTATTGTTTTTTATTGCATCTACTTGATTCTTCTCTCTTTTCTTTTTGATTATTCTGGCTAGTGACCTGTCTATGTTGTTGATCTTTTCAAAAAACAGCTCTTGGATTTATAGATTTTTTTCAAGTTTTTTTTTGTGTCTCTATCCTCTTCAGTTCTGCTCTGATCTCTGTTATTTCTTGTCTTATGCTAGCTTTTGAGTTTTTTTGATCTTGCTCCTCTAGCTCTTTCAATTTTGATGATAGGGTGTTAATTTTAGATCTTTCCTTGCTTCTTACGTGGGCATTTATTGCTATAAATTTTCCTCTAGACACTGCTTTAAATGTCCCAGATATTCTGATATGTTGTGTCTTCATTCTCATTGGTTTTGAAGAACATCTTTATTTTTGCCTTCATTTCATTGTTTATCCAGTCAGCATTCAAGAGACAGTTGTTCACTTTAAATTAAGTTGTGTGGTTCTGAGTTAGTTTCTTAATCCTGGGTTCAGTTTGATTGCACTGTGGTCTGAGAGACTGTTTGTTATGATTTCCATTCTATTGCATTTGCTGAGGAATGATTTACTTAGAATTGTGTAGTCAGCTTTAAAGTAGGTGTGAAGTAGTGCTGAGAAGAATGTATATTCTGTGGATTTGGGATGGAGAGTTCTGTATATGTCTATTAGGTTTGCTTGGTCCAGATCTGAGTTCAAGTCTTGGATATCCTTGTTAATTTTCTGTCTCATTGATCTGTCTAATATTGACAGTAGATTGTTAAAGTATCCCACTAGTACTGTGTGGGAATCTAAGTCTCTTTGTAGGTCATTAAGGACTTGCTTTATGTACCTGGGTGCTCCTGTATTGGGTGTGTATGTATTTAGGATCATTAGCTCTTCTTATTGCATTGATCTTTTTACCATTATGTAATACCCTTCTTTTGTCTCTTTTGTTCTCTATTGATTTAAAGTCTATTTTTTCAGAGACGAGGATTGCAACTCCTATTTTTTTTTTTTTTTTTGCTCTCTATTTACTTGGTAAATCATCCCCCATCCCTTTATTTTGAGTTATTTTATGTGTGTCCTTGCACATGAAATGCATTTCCTGGATACAGCACACCAATGGATTTTGACTTTTTATTCAATTTGCCAATCTGTATCTTTTGATTGTGGCATTTAGCCCATTTACATTTAAGGTTAATATTGTTATGTGTGAATTTGATCCTGCCATTTTGATGCTAGCTGTTTGTTTTGCCCATTAGTTGAGGCAGTTTCTTCATTGTGTTGATGCTCTTTACCATTTGGTACATTTTTGGGGTGGCTGGTACTGGTTGTTCCTTTCTATGTTTAGAGCTTCTTTCAGAAGCTCTTGTAAGGCATTCCTGGTGGTACTGAAATCTCTCAGCAATTGATTGTCCATAAAGGATTTTCTTTCTCCTTCATTTATAAAGCTTAGTTTGGCTGAATATGAAATTCTAGGTTGAAAATTCTTTTCTTTAAGCATGTTAAATATTGGCCCTCACTCTTTTCTGGCTTGTAGTGTTTCTGCTGAGAGATCTGCTGTAAGTCTGATGGGCTTCCCTTTGTGGGTAACCTGTCCTTTCTCTCTGGCTGCCCTTAGCATTTTTTCCTTCACTTCAATCCTTCTGAATCTGATGATTATGTGCCTTGGGATTGCTCTTCTTGAGGAATATCTTTGTGGTGTTCTCTGTATTTCCGGGACTTGAATATTGGCCTGCATTGCTAGGTCATGGAAGTTCTCCTGGATAATATCCTGGAGAGTGTTTCCTAGCTTGGATTCATTCTCTCCATCACATTCAGGTATACCTATCAAATGTAGATTAGGTATTTTCACATAATCCCATATTTCTTGGAGGCTTTGTTCATTTCTTTTTACTCTTCTTTCTCTAATCTTGCCTTCTTGTTTTATTTCATTGAGTTGATCTTCAATCTCTGATATTCTTTCTTCTACTTGGTCGATTTGGTTATTGAAACTTGTGTACGTTTCACAAAGTTCTTGTGTTGTGTTTTTCAGCTCCATCAGTTCTTTTATATTTTTCTCTAAGCTGTTTATTTTCATTAGCATTTCATCAAACCTTTTTTCAGTATTCTTAGTTTCTTTGCATTGGGTTAGAACATGTTCTTTTAGCTCAGAGAAGTCTGATATTATCCACGTTATGAAGCCTGTTTCTGTCAATTCGTCAGACTCATTCTGCATCCAACTTTGTTCCCTTGCTGGTGAGGAGTTGTGATCCTTTGGAGGAGGAGAGGCATCCTGTTTTTGGGTGTTTTCATCCCTTTTGCACTGGTTTCTTCCCATCTTTGTGGATTTATCTACCTGTGGTCTTTGTAGTTTGTAACTTTCAGATGAGGTCTCTGAGTGGATGTCCTTTTTGTTGATGATGAAGATATTTCTTTCTGTTTTTTATTTTTCCTTCTAACAGTCATGCCCCTCTGCTGTAGGACTGCTGGAGTTCTACTCCAGACCCTGCTTGCCTGGGAATCACCTGCGGTGGCTGCAGAATAGTACAGGTTGCTACCTGTTTCTTCTTCTGTTATCTTTGTCTCAGAAGGATTCCTGCCAGATATCAGTCTGAGCTCTCCTTTGTGAGGTATCTCTTTTGCTATATGGGGGTTGGAAAGGCTGCTTGAGGAGACAGTCTGTCCCTTATAGGAGCTCAAGTGCTGAGCTGTGAGCACCGTTGTTCTTTTCAGAGGTTCTGGGAGGGTACGTTTAAGTCTGCTACAGTGAAACTCATAACCGCCTTTTTTTCTGAGGTGCTCTGTCCTGGGAAGGTGAGGCTTTATTGATAAATTCCTGGTGTGCTGCTGCCTTTTTTCAGTGATGCCCTGCCTAGCAAGGAGATAGCTTAGTTACAGTCTGCCAGCAGAGGTGTTGCTGAACTGCCATGGGCTCTGTCCAGCTGCTGTATGAGCTTCCTTGTAGTTTTGCTTATAGAGGTATAGTTAGAACTGCCTTGGTAATGGAGGTCTGCCTCAGTAATGGCAGACTGCCTCAGTAGTGGTGGACTGCCTTGGTAATGGTGGACACCCTTCCCCCAACAGAGCTGGACCATCCGGGATCCAGCTGTGCTCGCTGTGAAACTCTCAATTCAGAGCATTTCAGATTGCTAGTCTTTGTGGGTTTGGGACCCACTGAGCCAGATCACCTGGCTCCCTGTTTCAGCCCCATTTTTTTCAGTCAAATGAGTGACTCTGTC